GGGGGGGGGGAATCACGGACACACAGACACACAACAACCCCCGGGGCCGCCCTCCCGTTCCCCTTCCCCGCCGCTCTCGTCCCCTTTTGTGCTCGGCTCAGCGGCCGGGCCGGGGGCGGGGGGCTCCGCGCCGCCCCCGCGGGCAGCCCCCGGCCGGCGCGGCGGGATGCATGGCTGCCTTCCTCCTCCTCCTCCTCCTCTTATTCCCGCTCTTCCTCCTGCTCCCGGCCGCCGCCGCCCGCTCTCCTTCCTTCCCGCCGGCGGAACAAAAGGCCGAGCAGCACAGGCCGCCGCACGCCCCGGCCCCGCCGCCGCCGCCAGCACCGGCACCCGCGGAGCTCCAGCCCCGGCGGAGGGCGGGGGGAAAGGCGGGGGCGGCACCGCGGGGCGGGGCGGCAGAGCCGGGGCCGCCCCTTCCCCGAGCACCGCCGGGCTTCCCGCACCCCCCCTCCCCGCACCGAGCCTCCACCCCGCTCCCATCCACCGGGAAACGGTGGGGGGAGAACCGGAGCGCGACCCGGCTGGGGAATGGGGGGTGATGCTCGGTGGTAGAGCGGGGGTGGTCCCCGCCCGCCCCGCCGGGGATGGCCCCTCCTCCGGGGGGAGGCGGCAGCCCCCGACAAAGAGCAGCAACGCCCTGGCTCGGCGGCGGCTCCGGCTCCGGCTCCCATCGCCACCGGCCCCGCTCCCCCGGCTCTTTGTCCGCTGTTCCCCGAGCCGGCGCTGGGAAGGACACGGAGATCGATCCTCCCCACCCCGCACACATCGGGTCTCTCTGCTCCTCGCACACGCCCTCGCACAAAGAACCGAGTTTCGAAATCACCGGAGAAACCCACCCGAAACACCCCCCGAAGTGCCAATTCTGCCTTCCCCCGTGGCTCTGCCAAAAAAGCCACCCGCAACTCGCCACTGTTCCTCTCAACCACTGCAGGCTCTTTTCCTAAAAATCATGATTTTTATAGCCCCGGCTCTAGGGCAGCATCCTGCTCCTCCCATTCCTGAGTCCTGTCACCCTCTTTTCCTCCCCCAAAACCCTTGGGTTTAAGAGATGGGGAACATTGGAAGTGGGGAGGGAGGCAGCCCGGGCGCGTGAATCAGCGCTGCGAAGTGATGCTGAGGGAAGTCACAGACTTGGGAGAGAAAACAGGAGGGTTGGGAACAGCCTCCACGCATCTCCAGGCAACAACCCGCCCCACCAGCCACCCGGCCTGCTACTTTGGGATGAATTATGGCATCGGGATAAAAATACAAGGTGTTTAATACAGAAAAACGTGCAGCATTGCACTCCCAAAAGCACCAGCACTGGGAGAATCGGATCTCGGATCTCACTTTGCTGTGCCACAGCTTCACCAAAAGCCTTCCCACCTGGCCATGGTGAGCCACAGCCAAGGGAGATGAAATCCCGAATATTTTTTGATGCATTGCCATTCTGAAAAGACCAAGGCTTTGCCAAGGTCGTGGTGTGGTGTGGTGTGGTGGGAGCCCAGTTTTCACATCCCCAAGCTCTCAGACCCTTCATCCCCCTGTCCCAGCTGCACACGCAGCAGCTCCAGCAGCGCATTCCCAAAGCTTTGTTTTGCTTTTGGAGAGATGGGAAGGGATGTTTTGTGGAAGGGGAAGGTTCAAGGGGGCATTTGCCCATTAAATGCTCCTCAGATGGAGATTTTTGCATAGTGGGAAACCTTTGGAACCCCCTTTTTATTCCCACCATTAAATACAACCAAGGAAAAACGCGGGAGGTGGGGAGGGAGTGGAGATATGGGGGGGATTCCAAACATCCCCCAGGGAGCCCTTTCACCCATCCAGGGCTCATCCCCTCCACATCCCCCCGAGCTCTCCTGGACAGACAGCCCTGCAGCCTCCTCCAGCTGCCAACACCACCAGAGTGTCCCAACGCCTGGATTTTTCCCCTTGGCAGGGGACAGCGCAGCTCCTGCTCCCTGCTATTAATCCAGAGCAGCTGAAACAACAAGAGGACAACGGTGCTGTGCCAGAAATGCTGCCCTGGCTCCTCTGCTACCACCTTGGAGCTGCACCGTTACCGCTCCGGGGCCCCTCCGCCAGGAATCCCAGGCATCCGGGCTGGGGCGAGGAGGTTTTTTTGTTCCACTTCGAAGAAGGAACGATCTCTCTCTCCCTCCCTCCCTCTCTCTCTCTCTCTCTCTCTCTCTCTTTTTTCTCGACGTGGAGCTGCCCCGTTTCACAGCCAGAAATTCTTTTCCCATTTCCTCACCGAGTCACGTGCCAGGAGCGAGCCAAGTCTTCCCCCAACACGTTCCCCCCATCAAGAATTTCTAAAACCATTAGGGAAATATTGGGTAGGGATGAAAGCCAATTGGAAACCTGCTGGAAACCCGAAGATCCCGGCCAGATCTCTTGCAGGTTCCCCAAATCATGGCTTTAAGCCTCCAAGTGCCACCCCAACGACGGGGAGAGGAGCCAAACAGTGCTGGGAATTGCAAGGTCAAGGCTTTGTGTCGGTGCAAGGGATGGATGTGGAAGGACATAAAAGTCCTGTCTGATTTTTGTCCTTTCAGGTGTTTCCAAGTGACCACCAAGACCCCTCACTTGGCTTTTGCTCAGTCCCCAGACAGCTCCTGTCACCCAACCCAGACCTGGAGCCACCCTAGGCCATGTCCTACAGATAAAACACCCTCAGCTAAAACCCACCCAACACCTTCCCCAAGGAGGAGCATCCCCATTTGTCTCCTGAACCTGCTGGTTTCAAGCTTTCCTCATATGGCCACCAGTCCTGGCACGTGGGGACATCACTGTCCCTGCCATGGGCTGATGTCACCCTGTTTATGGCTGTGCCACATCCACAGCACTATTTGGAAACCAATGTATATTTAGATTTCAATGCATCTCAGCAGCTGAAAGCAAGGGACCTATGTTATGTGATGAGCAAGAGAGCTCAGAGGCAGCTCAAGGTCTCTGATGGATGGGCCATTTCTGAGATCAAGGGTTTTCTTCACCCTCAAAGATTCTTTCAACTTCACCCTGGTGCCCCTTCTGCCCTGGGAGTGCAGGGTGGATGGAGGAGAGGCACCATGAGCTTTGTCCACGGTCTTGCTGACCATGTCATAAAATCTTATTTTGTGTTGGAAGGACAGGAAAACTCATCTTGTCCCACTCTCTACTATGGGTCCACTAGACCAGGCTGCTCCAGCCTGGCCTTGAGGGATGGGGTAGCCACAGGGCAACCTGTCCCCTGCGTGTGACATCGTGTGGGTCACTGTGTCCCCCAAATCTGACTCCACGAGTGCCACCCCTGGGCTGGGACACTGTGCCAGGTCCAAGCAAGGCAGAGTGGATCACCCCAAGTGCATCCAGCCCAACAGAAGGACTGAGGGCGCATTTCACCCTCCCTCAGACACTGCAATAAAAGCACGAATCCAAATCAAGCACACACAAAAATCTCCCTTAGAAACGGCACTTCAGGTTGTGCTGGGAGTTTTAGCAGAGGATTCATGTTTTTTAAAGCTTTTGCTGCGTTTCTCAGAAGGGCAGAGGGATTTCTTTCTTTCCCTCTTGCTCTCCTCTTCACTCATTCCTTTTCCCAAACCTTTGTGGTTGCCATTCCAGCAGCTGATCCAGGCAGGAGCACTGGGGCTATTCCCACCCTGCTGTGCTGCTCTGGGTGCTCCCTCATCCCTCTGACTTCAAACCAACCTCACATCAGGGCTCTGCCACCACTCAATCCCTCTTCAAAGGCTACAGCTGCTGGGGATGCAGGGAGCCAGCACATCTTTAAATCAGCTTTTTGGAACCTTTGGAGCCTGTTCATTTGGGACTCTCCCTCTGCAGGGATGTGGGAGGAAACCTCATCAGGCTACACGGGGGTCTGCACCTCCACGGGGAAAGTTTTAGGAAAAGGTTAAAATCCAAACTCCCAGAGAAACCTCCTGCACTTTTGGATGCACGGCTGCAGTGAGGGCTATTAAAAAAAAAAAAATTAAATTTGTTTTGTTCTTCCAAGAGTGCAGGAGCTGCACAGCAGCGATTTCACTGCCAGGCAGCTAATAGAGATGTTGGTATAAATAATTCTCCTGAACGAAGCCTGGAGCCCACGTGTTACAGCAGTGCTCAGGCACTCAGCATTCCCATGGAACCCCATCTTCGTGCACAGAGCTCCCCAAAACTCCCTGGCAGAAACCTGAGATGGGACAAGGGTAGAGCCAGGGCCCTGGTGGCCAGGAGGTGAAAGGTGCTGGAAATGCTCATTTTTGTCCTCAGCTGCTTTCCCTGCAAATTGAAGCATCCTGGGCTCTGTGGGCATCCCACAAAGGGGGACAACAGGGATGGGGTGATTAATGAACTGCTCTGAGGCCCTTCAGGAAGTGAGGTAAGTGTGTCATCATCCTGAGAATCCACATCTAAACCACTCCTTCAGCAGGAGAATTGGCAATTGTTCTTGGAAGGCTGCAGTGACTAATCCAAGCCCGAGTCCTTCCCTGCTTGCTCCAGACCCAGTGGCCACAGTCCCTCCCTTCCCCAAGCATGGCTTGGATGCTGTGGGTGATGGGAATGTCCCCACGGATCCCCCCACCCTCCACAGCTTCATCCTGCTGGGACCAGGCTCCTCTCCCTCCTCTGCTCAGCCCTTGCAGACAAAAACCTTCCCATCTCCTCCTCCTCCTCCTCCTCCCTCGGATCCTCAGCTCTCCTGGTCTTATGCAAAGCTGGTATTTTTAGTATCTCCTGGAAACACTGTGAAGTGTCATCACCAGCAGCTAACGAGTGCTCTGGAGAGAGGACATTCCTCCGGCCATGTCCCTCTGCTC